GCAAATCAGGCAATCCTAAGAGCCTTGGATTTGATTGAGGTGACTACATTCAAACTTCTGAATTTGCATGGTTTGGCATTTGTTCTGTGTACAGGATGGAAGCACACCCATCGCTTAAAGATGACTGGTTCGTAGCACAACTCACAGCGCTCTGAAAAGTTTATGTTTACTCTGAGTTCACCAACTCAATCGATGGAAACAGGGGCACTTCCAGAGCACAATCCAGCCCACCTTGGGACAGAAGTCTAAAGATAGGTTGGTTGAATTGGAGGTCTCTCAACCTCAGAGACAGCCCAAAAGAATAGCTTGGGCTATACTAGCTTGAACTAACTATGAGCTGCCAACAGTGGGGAAATTAGTCCCAGCCACAGTGTGCACAGCAAAGCCAAAGAAGTATTTCCACATCATTGCCTTTCCTAGAAGTTGTTACGCTGAATCTAGATTTCCAGCTGATGTAAAGCCAGATGATGTAAATTATCATGACACTGTGGACTTAAACCATCCAACAGAGTGGCCAAGAGTTTATAAGCTAATACTGGGTGTTCTTCTAGGTCAGCATAGTTTTGAGGAATTTTACTGAAATATTTTTGAAATTAAAAGGGAAAAGGCTCCTTGCTAGTTTAGGTTTCTTTAAAAAAAATCTCTAACCTAAAAGGTATTATAACCTGATACACACAGGAATAAATGTGTTGATGGAGAATAGTTGAAAATACCAGCTGCTACCAGCTATAGAAATCCTTACAGCTCTTGTCACAGCTTCGTAATACTCTTTGTATTATTTGGAGGTGTGTGGCTTTTAAAATGAAGTTGAAGAGTTTGGAAGAAAGAGGACGTGGCTGTGAGACTGATTCAATCAGAAGTGTGGTTGTAGGAATAGAGGGATCAGTTAAGAAGAAACAGTAGAGTCTCTAATAGGAAAATAAACATTGTTAACCTTCTTACTTTTCATGGTTGAAGATGTTATAGCGTTCTACGACGTCTCAGTTTGTGTCCTGGATGGAGAAGGCAGCAGGTAGCCAGACTGCAGCATATCTGCAGGAAACAGAGCAGATTTGTCTACAGGCTGCAGGACAACTCCTTACTCTTACAAATCTAAACTGATTATTCAATGCTGGGATATTATTTCCACACATTAATGAATTTTTGGGGTCAGTGGGGAATATTGTGAGCATCTAGTCTGAACTCGTGCAATGAAGGCCAAAAAAGTCCACCCAGTAACTCCTGTGTTAGGGCCAATAGGCTGTGATTGAGCAAGAGCCTGTCTTTGAGAAAGTTATCCCCTTGTTGCAGTGACTGATGCTGCAGAGGAAGAACTTCCTTTGAATAGACAAAATATTACCTGTCCTGTTGTGATGTTTACCCAGAGCTTAAAAATTGTGAGGGACAGGCGAAATGATCAGTGCAGCTGATGAAAAAACAGCTTCATTCTTCTCTGACGATTGTACCTTCAGCCAGTTTTCACAAAGCTGAAGCTCCAGCTGGCTGCATCCCTCTAGCTTCGATATTAGCTATTGTGCTTAATGCCACCCCAGAAACATATTGAGGCCTGGAGATGTATAGGTTTTAAGGAGGCAAGGATAAAATTCCCAGTATAAAGTGAAAAATAATAAACTAACTGTTGTGGCTACGAGGTGTGCCACGCAGAGCGACTCCAGAAGCCTAAGACATTTGAGCCTTTTTTTACATTTCAATTTATTCTTACTGTTTCACCGAATGCTGGTGAACCAGTAGCAAAAAGAGAGAGATTTCTAGTAGTGTTTTAGCTCTGTACATCAAGCTGTCCAAGGAAACCGGAGACAGATGCCTACTGTTTATTAAGCACCACTATGAAGTGATTCAATTCAGAGCAGCAATGTTCTGGTGTGGAGGACGGAGGGAGACATGAAATGTTTTCTTGCAATTTATTTGGTGGCAGGGGAACCTGGTAAAAACCAATTTATAAATTCTGTAGGTATCCAATCTATTTTTGTCATCTGGACAACTAAAAGCCGTAAATATAAAACAACACTGCTCCGACAGTGAGTTATACTTCCTTTGCCGTTATTCTGAGCAGTTGTGGAGCCCAGGAGCTTTGCTGACATGAGAGAGTTATGCAGGTTCCCCACATGAGTAGTGCAGCCATCCACCGTTACCACAAGGCATGCGATTTTTCTTTTTTCCCTTTGGTTCAGTATATATAACAATTTTTTAAGCAGTCGTTTCAATGGAAAGAAATAGAAAAGGGCAAAGGACAGGAGAAGCATCCTTCTTGTCTTTAGATGAATTTCAACATATTCTGGAAGCGCGTGAGGTAAAAACTTTCACCTGGCATAACCTTTTATGGCTCCATTTATGACAGTATTTTAGCTTATGGCTGTCTCCATGTTCATTTTATGTGTACAGGACTCAGTCAAAGAGAAGGAAGGTAACTAGCTTGGGTTCTCTCAGGAAGCCTCATCTAGAGCTGGATGCGTTTCTTACAAGTGCTCTGACTAAAGGAGCTCGCTTCATTTCTCTTCACCCCGTGTTCAGTAACATAATGCAAACCGCATCGGTTGTTCGCTTTCTTTCTCCTCCAAGCAAAAAGAAGCCAAAGAGGAAAAAAACACTGCCCTAGTGGATCTGGGAGACAGACCACTGCTAAGCAGAAGGAATAGCTGCAACAACAAAATGCTGATTTCTGAGGCGCTTCAGTGCTCCCACCAGTATTTTACATTGATTATATGCCAAGTCATTATTTAGGCAAACTAGATAATCTGCATTGCATCTTCACAGGGGAGAGTCACACCCGCTCTGCGTTGCTCTGATGGAATAGAGAAACTTGAAAAGAATAAAAGAAAAAAAAGAGATGTTAGCCCCAGATATTGGCCAGCTGAGAAGCACGTATTTGAGCAGTGAGACTATGATAAGAGCCACCACGATGCACTCTAGACTGTGCAAGAGAGAAGAATTTAATTCGTTTTTCCTGCCTTCTCCAACAGATGTGATGATGATCCATGAGCGTATGGCCCTCATTCACAGGAGTTATTTTCCCCCAAAAGCTTTAATATAAACAGGCAAACAATTCCCTAGCCCCCATTTCTCTCATTTCTTAAATATATGTGTTTCCTCAAGAGGCAAGGGTAATAATCCTCTGAAACAGAGCTGCATGGAATTTAGTCCAGTCAAAACCAATCAGATCCTTCAGATTTGAGCTTTATGTGCTTCATTTAAGAGATCTGCTAATGAACATGAACTGAAACGCAGAGTGGTGTTAGTCACAGAGAATTCACTGACATTCATTCGCTTTGATTATGTTCTTTCTCTTCTCTGTTGGTGCCCACGTTATCTGACAAAAGGGTTTTTTTTTTTTACTTGTTTGGGGATTTTTTTTTAATCAAAGACATTATTGGCTTATTATTGCTTTGTGGAGGGAGACTGAATATTCAAAGCTGCTTCTATCCATAACATATATAATAGTTATTGAAGCTAACATCCCAGATACTAGGGAAGTGTGGGGACACGGAGAGCTTCACAGGTTGTTCTTGGGTCTGGAAATGTCCCCACACCCACACCAGCAGAGTCCATTGACCTCTGAGACCTGGTGAGAGGGCAGGCTTTTAGGTGGGCCTTGAGGTTGTAAAGGTGGGTTAATGTGTGGGTTAGACGTTTGAAGTTTACCCACAGAGGATGAAAAAGTTACTTCCTACTTTTTTTGCTGCATCCTGCCACCTGTTGAGACTTCACTTTCTTCGGAATTCATTCAGTAAAGTGATGTATTTGATGGTGACAGCCCTAAAGAGCATCACAGTAAAAGGGATTTTAACCCTTTCACAGCTACCGAATCTACAGAAGCAAAAAGCATGGTGTAGACATTCTTAGTTCTGTCATTAAGAAAATATTGACTTTAAATGCTCACTTTTCAGAAGATAATTTAGCTCTTTAAAGGAAAAGAAAGAAAGTGACCTTGTGATCAATGCACTAAAGTAGGGCTCAGGAGACAAGTTAAAAATCTAATTACTTCCACAGTTTTTATGACTGTGATTCATCTGATCTAACTTCAGCTACCTGTAAGTTAAGTGTTTAATCTAAGCTGGTTATTCAAGACTCTCTGTGAGAGAAAGAGAGACACACATTTCTAGTTCGTCCAACCTATGTTGGATGATAAATCTAAGATGCCTTATTACTTTCCTATGCTAGAAGGTGAAGCTCTGTCTCTTCCTGAGCCACATAGTTTCATGGATTCGACTCATCCATCTTCAGCATTACCTTGGCACAGTAGCAGTGATGACCTGAGCCTCAGCTCCCCCTCTGGGGCATCGTTTTTAGGGGTGTATATCATTCCTGGGGCACATCTACATGAGTAGTTAAAAAACATAAAAACATAGGCTAAAAAACATAGACTAAAACATAGAACTAAAAACAAACCACACTAGACCAAACATAGACTGAAAGTCTGCAGCAAAATGCATAATAATTATGTTTTGTATTTTGTTAATCCTTCTTTTTTTTTTGTAAACTTCAAACCTTTAAATTGTGTTCATACAGTGCCCTAAAGCCATAATGGCAAAATAGTGTTTCACTTAGAAATGCTAATTCAAATTTCACTTAGCAGACTTGAGCCCCGAGCAAAAAGCAGTTGTACGACAAAATTGCTGTGAATAACTTTTTTTTCCAACGGCAGCATTGAAGGAATGGCAATATCTCAATAGCTTAGTGAGAAGATCAAGATGGGTTGCTAGGTTGATTGACAAAACTTTGAGAAAGTTCCTGATCTCATACTTACCATTTGTGTATTACGTTTGGAAGTAATAACACAGTGCTAAATATTGTCATCTGATCTTTAGAGCTGAACACTCATCCACACTATGCATGAAAAATCATTTTAGTAATTCCCTGATACTTGGTCTGATTTTCTTTTTTTTTTTTTTCCTTGCAAGGAGCCCTATTTTTGCACTCAGCATTATTATAAGCTATTTTGTGATCAGATAAAATAAGCAAAATATGACCTTAAGTTTGCCTTTCTTTTTTTTCTGTTTTAGTGGCTGCATCAACTGCTAATTCCACGGCTGGTGCAGCCATGAATTCTTTGACTTCTCTGGGTACTCTCCAAGGATTGGCTGGAGCCACTGTTGGACTGAATAATATTAATGCACTAGCAGGTACCGTAAACAGTGAGTATTTATTGCTGTGGTGGACAGCCTTCCCCAATTATCATGCCATAAAAAAAAAATCAATTGTAAAGATATGATTATTTTTAATGTATGTGAAAAATAAGGGGGTCAAGTTGATCTAGTTCTATTCGTGGTGCATATGCAGTTCTGGAGCCTTTAAGTTTCACATGGCTTGCGCTGCAAAGTGAAGTCTCTTTGGTCCCTGCAAAAAGACTCCTTTTCTTGCAGGGTAAATGAAAGGTAAAAGGAAAGTTACTTGGGATTCTGGTTATTTAGGCTACAGGAGAGGCTCCTTTTCCATTTGGGGAGTCTGAGAACAGCTGTATCACCTCAACATACAAAGCACTTTCAGAAATGCATTGGTAATAGATGCATGTTTGCCACGGAAGCAGTCCCTTTGCTATGTCTTTGAATTATCAAATTGACTTAAGAGAAACATACCTACTTTAAAAGTAAAGGCAGCTCTTTGGATTTTAATTGGCAAGTGTGAAAGAATGGTGAAATCAGTCACCTGTAATACCAGAGCACAGGCATCTCTCCTATGACATCCTAAGCAAAACCTGACATCTCCAGCTAAGTAGATGGTGGCAGTTGTGAGAGCATTCTCCCTTGTTCTTAACCTTGGTCAAGATTTTCCTGAAGAATAATGATCCTTTTTATTCCGTTTCTGTTATGATGACTTCACCTTTGCCTGCAATGGAAGAGATTTTTCCAGCTGCATTTTCCCCCTCCCTTTTTTTTAGCCGCTGTTGTTCCTTGCATTTCCTTCTGCAATGCAAGGAATCTCCTTGGTCATTGCCAGTCCGTGAGCCATCATAATGTACTCCCAGGAATGGATGTCCTCCTCAGTATCACTTGCTCACTCTGATTCTCTGCATGATGTCCTTTTTGTCAGCGTGATTTGGCTGCTCACCAGTCCTTTTGTTCTGTGATCTCTGGTTGTCATTGTTGGGAGTGGGGAAGGAAGGGGGTTAATGGATGTCCGTGTAGCAATGATGAGTGATTGCATGGGGCCTTGTGTAAAACAAGTCTTGCTTCTGGCAAGGACGTGTGTCTTTCACACAAACAACCTCATAGTAAATATGGCTCAAGAAGAGTTTAAGAGCAGTAAGTACATTAGGTCCCCAAATGGCCAATGATAAGTTCTTTTCTTATGCTTACATATTATTAAAGCAAGCCACTGAAAATGGCATGCAGGAAAAGCTAATTATCCACTCTCATGAGCATTCTCAGTGATATACCCTATCATGTGTAAGAAATCATTAAATATATTTTCCCTGATAAACAGTCTTGTTTTATAAACCATGCTTTCCATAGCAAGAGCAAAGTGTGGCATGCCACTCCTTCCCACAAGTGCTAAGCACCCAAGCACCTTGGAGCACTCCAAGATAATGCCACTTCATCAAGACTGACCAGGAAAAAGTCACCATGAGCTCCTCATTTGGTGTTAGAATCCTTCTGTTACACTCCTTTTAGTGCTTCTTGCTAGGTTACAGGCAAAGAGTTCAGATTTTCCAAAGTATTTTCAGGTGACGTGTGTGCAAACTTATCTGCATGTGCCATTTGAAGTATTAGTGATGTATTCACGATCTAGGACCGAATTCTGGCTTGTTTTAGGCCGCGGTGACTTCCATGGACTTGTACCAGCAGTGGTTTTGGTCTCAAATCTTGTTCATGAAGTTTTCATGGACACAGAGGGTGTATATGCCTAAAATATCTGTATGTAAGATACATACTTACAAAACGTATGTGGATATGTCTGGTTATATTTACATATGTATATCCATATATGAGAGAGGTCTAAAGCAGGGAAACTGCTTCCTCATATGCTGGTTGTGGCATCTGTTTCTCCTAAAGGGTGACACTGATTATCAATTTCAGGCACTTGTGATGCTAATGATAGCAAAACATTGTCCAAATTATAAAAAGAAACTTCCCCTCTCTATTTTAATGATATGCCGGTCACTAGGCATGAGCTTAGTGACCGTTTCTGATCCAGCTGTTTACACCCAGACCTCTCTAGGAGCTTGCATTCGGCAAATCTCGTATGCAAAGAGTCTGCTCTTTCAGAGTACACTGCGGCCGCAAGCACTCCAGCAAGAGCTCTATTTTATCATGAAGGTTACTGAAGTAATTGTGAAGCAAAGTTGGAATTTAGTGACGTGCTTTTAGCTATAGAAAGCAGCATAACTTCAGATGCCTGGAGGCCTCAAAGAAAGTGGAGGATGGTAAGTTTAGCCGTCTCCAAGAGTTAGGCAACAGTTGCACATACATTTGGGGATTCACAGTTTTGTGACGGCCCAGTGCTCTCTCAGTTGTGCTTGAAGCGTCTGAAACCTTAAATGACAGAACATTAGACTCTCCTTTGGGGAAATAAATTTAAATAACATAACTAACAAAAAGAAATATGAATAACGAGGGAAAATGAATAAAGAGGAAGGAAGAGGTTCTTTGCAATTAAGAGAGAAGACCGTGGATTCGGGATGTTGAACAGCTATGGCAAAATACTTGTATGTGACCTCCAGGCAGCCACTTACTGTTTCTGCCCCCATGTTTGCATCTGTAAAACAGAGATAAAAGTGTGACAGATTTGAAAGTGCTTGGAAAGCACTTTGGGAGACCTTTGCACTTGCTAAGCATTGTCACTTCTGTATTACTTAGAATAACACAGAAAAGTTAGAAGGCCACAGATGAGAGCCTCAGATAGAAAAGTTATTCCCTAGAAGTGAGAAAGGGACCAAAGTTCAATAAGGCTGAGATAATACAGAGGCAGTAGAGAGGTGTAAGTGCAGCTGGCCCTTGAAGATTTCATAAAAAAATACAAATACAAAAAGGCAGAATAAAGCCAATGCCGAGGCCTTGCCGCAGAGCTGTTTTGCTGAGAAGAGAGAGAGGCACCACGTGTGCACGGCGGCAGCAGTAGCAGTGCCCTTGCGGATGCAGAGCAGTGAGCCTGGGCTGTCTCTTGGCTGAGCTGAAATCATTTGGCGGATAGGAGCTATTGATTCGAGATGAAAGCACCCACAGCAACACAAAACATGTTTATCTGATAGGCCGATGACTCACAAAAGAAAGCGTGTTATCCTAATACTTCCTCTATTATCAAGTTATTTCAACATTATAATAAAGGGAGAGATGCAAGTGTTTTATCGAGAGCTTTTACTTTAACCAGTGTTGTGTGCACGTCCATGCAAGCAATGGCACAAACCTCAATACAGAAACATCAGAGTGGATTAAGGTAGGGCTCAATATCGAATTACTGCATTAGCACCGTTATTAGCTTGAATCTTCATTTTCAAAATGTCCTACCTTTTAGACATGAGCTGCTTCACAAGCTGTATATTGGTTTCTCAAATTTTGTTTTAAATCTGGAAACGTTATGCAATGATTAGGGCTCTCTCGTGCTCTGATGGAGGTTCATGTTCAAGGCAGTATCTCCTTTCGGGAAACAGCAGTGTTGTTAAGTAGGGTGGGGGGAAAGGAGAAATCTTCAAAGTGCAAGACATTTTATTAAGCAAAGGCTAAGAATATCACATCTCTGTCAAGTGTTTAGTCACACAAATTATAGCAATACCAAAAGGTATAATTTATGCGGTACGATCCTCTTAATTGGCGCAGACTCGGGTGGAACCAGAAAGGTGCCACTTGAGCAATTGTCCTGATTATCAGAGACTCATAGGAATGTGCTTTTCAAATCTACATAAGAGATGGAAGAAAACTAGTAGGTCAGCATCTTTATCCTCCTCTGTCAACACAGGCTAATTCCCTGTGGTATAATTTCTTGCTCCAAATTACTATTGTGAAAAGGTTTATGCCACTTTCCTTGAAGAAGATTGTTTCCCAGTCTAATAGATTTCATTGTTAATTCACTATGGACTGTCCTCTGCTAAATTTCCTCACTTTCTTCCAATTTACATATAAGCTTTATTATTGCTCCGAAATTAATCCCTCTCTTTCTTTTTAATATTGATAGCCTTTGACTCCTTAATACTTGATAGCCTTTGGCTCCACCAGCCACCTCTTTACCCATCGTTTTGCCAACATGAAGGCTACACTTCATACGCAGTATCTAAGAAATGGTCACTGGTGGTTCTGGATGCCCCATTTTTCTGGAAACTGATTTATGGTACCTTCAGGGGCCTGTTAAGCCCTCTTAAGCTGTTTGTGAGCTGTTCAACCGAAAATGGGGGAGCACGGGATGGCAGAAAATCAGGCTTAGTTCTCAGAGCCACTGGGCACTGATCACTCCTGTGCCATTAGTCAGAGTTGTAGGTGATAAGCAGGTCTCTGACGTCTGACACCCTTTCACTGCCAAAGGAACTGTCCACAGAAAATTCACTTTTTATGGAGATTCTGAAAAAATAACTATTAACATTTTTCACTTTAATGTGGCTTGCTTAGGAGCCACACTAAGGAGTCAAAGCAACAGAGAGAGGCTGTAGCTCAGGAGTTTGTCAGCCGTTGCAAAACTTCCTTTGCAGGCCTCGGCACCGACATGTGCGAGGGATGCCTTTTTGTGCCCAAATAATGACCTAGTCTGAAATTCCTTCTTTGGCAGTCATCCCCGTTAAAATAAAGTGTTATTTTTCGGGAGGGAGAATTACTTTAAATAAAAAAATTAAGTAGCTCTGCTTGCAGCGAGGAGGAACACGTTGCTAGTACCAAAATACTTCTGCTTCTTCGTGGAAAGGCACCTGGTTGGATGGCAGCACTGCCAGTCGCTCCAAACATGCTGCCGTTCACCTGTTCCCCCCTCGCTGGTGTAACCGGAGGAGGAAGGTGGAACCACTGGACACTGCAGTCTAGCTTCCTACCACATACCTAAGGGACAAAACCCATAATTTTATTGAGGGCTGTTCCCAAATGCAGTCAATGCAATAAATCACGGTTCTCCACCAACTTTGCACAGGCTGCTAACCCTTCCGTTATGGTGCAGTGAAGCTCTGTTGCTAAAGACCTTAGCCAAAATGGCCAATGCCTGTTTTTTTTCCTGGGGAACTGCTCTTCCCCGTGGCCTTGCTCGCAGAGGTATGAGTCAAGTGGAGTCTGTTCCCCCAATTTCAGGTACCCTCAGCACCGTGTAGGCAGGAGCCCAAGACCTGGGCAAAGAGGATTTTGGATAGCAGCAAGCTGCAGGACTTGCCAGGAGCAGGCTGCATGCGAATGGGCTTGTCCAACCGTTGTGCACAAGCGGCCCTCGCACCAAAGTCGTGTCTCTCCATTCTCGGTGCCATTCAGTGAAGTGCTCGCCTGCATGCGTGGCCGTCGGCGGCGTCGCGTGAAAGCGGCGACTTTCGGAAAGCACTAATGAACAAGTGCAATTTCTTTTCTCTATTGTTGGGTTTTTTGTAAAGTTGCTCAAATGCTCTCAGGTATGGCGGCCCTGAACGGCGGACTCGGCGCCACCGGCTTGACGAACGGCACGGCCGGCACCATGGACGCGCTCACCCAGGCCTACTCAGGAATCCAGCAGTACGCGGCCGCCGCGCTGCCCACCTTGTACAGCCAGAGCTTGCTACAGCAGCAGAGCGCGGCCGGCAGCCAGAAGGAAGGTAAGCATCCTCCGGGCCGAGCATCGAGCCTCTCAGCCGAGGATTGCCGCCCCGCGGCCTCGGCAGACAATAAACTACCTTCAGCCAAGCGCAAGCAGTGTCTTGGGTTTCTTTCTTCACGGAGAAGATGGTCCTTAGTGAAGGACCTCACTTAGCCTTGTCTTTGATTCCTAACTTCTCTCCCACCCTGTTTTAACTCCTAATTTCATTCACTTTTTTGTGCTCAAGATGTATTTTACTGCCCCATCTTTGTCATATAAAAGTGGCTGCTGCTTGTAAAAAGGCGCTGGGAACAAAAATCAGCCCTTTATAGGATATATACGGTGGGTGGCCCTCTCGCGCACTCGCTTTCTGCTTTCTGCTTTCCGCGATAATGGAGTTAATCTGATTAGGTTTAAGTTTTTGAGTTAATGACAAGATCCGTTCTGGCTTTGAGTGATTCTTTGCTTAATTGTGGGTCTTGCGGGGAAGTGAGTAAATGATTGATTGCCCCTCTGCCTGTGCCAGTGGAGCAAAATAAACTGTAGGAAGTTACCGCGAAGAATAAATGAATGCTAATTACAAAATGTTTAGTAAAAGGAGGTTACCCTTTCTGTCTCTTTCTGTCTCCCTGCCCGTTTCCCCAGCGTTTGGGAGGTTTGTCTCTGCTTTCATCGCTTTCTCTTCTCCCTTCCGAAATGCCAGCTAATTCTAGGAGGACTGGAGAATATTGCAGACTTTCTAAGACTGCATCGATGTTGTCGTTACTGTTCTCGCCGGGATAAGCTTTGGAAGTAAACCTAGTATAATATCCTCATGGGAAATATTTTCATCCTCTTTTAAAGTAATATCTTGCGCTGTTATGGGATGTGGTGTTTCCTAGGAAGGCAAAGCTGGCATTCCCCCAACTGGCTGTTACATATATAAGGACGCCGTGGTGTTAAAATGTATATTTTCTCTAAATTCTTCACCTGATTTTCTGCTAACAGCTTGGACTATTTAAGCTGAAAGGATTTTTTAATCAAAATATTTTCTCCTTATTTTTGTGCTCTGTTTTTCTCTTTACTTCACTCATTTTGTTCAGTAAAGACAGACTATTTGACACCAAAAATAAATTGTTTTTAGTGTCATTGTAAGACATAGAGCAGAGAACAGTTTGATTTTTTCTGTTCAATTTCTTTCAATTTATGAACATTCATATTAAGTGTAGACTGAATTTTTTAGCATTATGAACTGGCAGCGTCCCTTTTAGAATAGCCTTTTTTGTCATATCTTGTTTCTTTTGGTGAAGTTAAAATGAATACATTTCATCATTAAATACTGATAGCCATGTTTCGTCTCTCAACTTATGATTTCTGATGGACTGGTAAAGAGTCCAGAGTGTTCGAGGATAACCAGTGAAAAGCAGTACAGAAATATTTAATACTGAAGCACAATGAACTGTCTCATGCATATACTGTAAACTATTGTTTCGTAAGTTTTGCTTACCATCTGAAGAAATATCTTCCGGAAAGGATAGTTTATTTACAATAAGAAGAAATTTTGTTTAATTTCCAGGTGGCAATTTTTTTCCTCTTTTTCCCCCCTTTTTTAAAATTTCCTCTTAAACCTGGTTCTTCTCTATGAGCAGAGTGAGGCTTTGGGAAACTGTTGCAGAAGGTATTCCTTAAATCTGGCACATACTTTCCTCTTCCTCCCTAGAAAACCAAGGACGTCTGAGGCACACTTGGGCTTTGTAATGCATTAAGCAAGGCAATACTTCCACAGGTTACTCTAGATCTGTTTGCCCCAGAAGCGTTCGACCCCTTTGTGTCCCACTTCTGCTCCTCGTCCCTCGGTGGGAAGGCCACGTGTCCATAGCAGAACGCTTTCTTTTGGGTGTCTGCTGGTCATTTCCAGTGTGTTATGGTAAAGGAGAAGCTGAGCTGCAGCTGGGGGGAAAATACCCATTTTTATTGCTGGGGCGAGTGTTTAAAAAGATAAACCAACAGCAGCAACAATGCATATTGCAAACTCAGGCCGTAAGAAAAAATATTCAAAACAAAATAAGATGCTTTGACTTGCATCTCTCTTTGCAAATGCAAGTTTCACTCAAGCCACTTTCATTTCAACCCAGCTGCTATTTTTGACCTTTTTTTTTTTTTTTTAAGTATTTTACAAAGTTTCTTCCAGGGAATAGCGAGAGCTTTCTAGGGAAAATCTTTTATAAAAAATGGGCATTATGAAATGAATGGCAACCAATTTGAGTATCTTTCTCTCTCTGACTCCACTGACTTCCAGCTGGAAAGGTTTGTTTTGTATTAGCCTTTTCCCTCCTGTCGCCGCTAGTGTCCTGCCCCTCGAGTTTCAGTCTCTGATATTCAAATCCGACCTCAGCTCATTGCATTTCCTTACATTCCCACAGCTGGAATTAAACCCACCAACCCCTGAGGATGTGTAAGGCAGTTTGTGGGGTGTTGTGAGAGGGTAATATATTGTATACCTGCTTTCTAACCCTAATTATACCAAAACACACTCATGCAAATTGAAGAGAGAGGCTGCAGTTTAACTTCTTTTGCAGTAGATATAGCAAGTAAACACTTTTCGAGATAGGATGCTCTTAAGGATGCATTTCAGCTCTGTTCTTTTGATGATCCACTTAACTTTTATTCCTTCAAAGTTGCGAATTTGAATGCTTTCTGACCATCACCTTCAGTAAGTATTATGGAAAAAATAGATTAAATATAGCTTTTGTAACAGCTGTTTTCATATTTTGTTTGTTTTCCTAAAGGTCCAGAAGGGGCAAACCTCTTTATTTACCACCTCCCCCAGGAGTTTGGAGACCAGGACATTCTGCAGATGTTCATGCCTTTTGGAAATGTTATCTCTGCTAAAGTCTTCATTGACAAACAGACCAATCTGAGCAAGTGCTTTGGTATGTCAGATTTAATAAATCAAATAGTAAAAACCACATGCATTGCGCTGAGAAGGGGCCGGGCAGGAAAATTAATGACAATGTGAGAAATGTCATTCTGGAATCTCATTCCCGATGTAATGGACTTGTAATCCTCAAATGAACGGAAGGATGCACAGGCAAACTAGTTCTAACAAAAAACTGGATATGAAAAAACAATAATAATCTTCCAGTCTGACATCTCGCATGAATGTGTCAAGTACATGAAACTAATTACACCCTATGTGGGGGAATGTCATTTAGTATACTATTAAGCTGCCTTATTATGGGTACCTAATTATTCTCCATTGTATAGCTGAGCCACTTTAAAATGTTCTGTGTTTAACCCATTGCTCCTACGTTACAGGAATTTCTTTCTTCTCAATCAAGTACAAGATTGTGCAATCAGTGTTTGAATGGGGTGTACATGTAGTTCACAACACTTTATAGGCAATTGGTGTCTAGATCTGCAGCTACAACAGTTGCAGGAGGGTCCAGTGTATCATGAAAGGCAGCACTTTGCTTACCTTAGGGCAGGGATGAAGGCAGCCTCACACAGTCAGTGCCAGGTTTCCCAGAGGATGCTTGGAGCTGCTGGGAAATTAGATCGTAAAGGATGAGAGTATGATATGTTGGTATAAAAGGAGCTCTAGGGTTAGTTAGATGGAGTGAAGTCCTCTGAATAACATAGATTACCTTGCATCTCATTACTTTTTCTAAATCTAGGTTTCATTAAAATGTGTCTGTCTGAGGGCTTGTCTACACAAGGGCCATTCAGGAAGAACTATTGTGCTTTAACCTCTTTTGAAATGGTTTGAATTTATCTAGACAGACAGGGCCCCATAATCATTGATATATTTCACTCGAAGACAAGCCCTGAGTTCTTTTGGAACGTTAACTAGGTTTAGAGAAAGGACGCGACATTATTTTTGCATGTTTGCATATTCTTCCAGGCCCTTTTTGAAGATTTCCATCTGCTGAGGCTTTACAAAAATTGTTCATATCTAAACTAATACAGTCTCATATGTTTCTGCAATGGGTTAAACGCTCCCGGGGCTGTAGCAAAGCTGAAAAGTGAAATTGGAATGGGATCCCCACTGGTGTGCAGCCAGTTCAGTCTGTATGCTGGGATGAGAAAATGGTTGTTGAGGTCTCCATGAAGCTTGACGAAATGTCAAATCAAGCTATGGTTATGACGTTTGGTGCATTTTAATTAATCATGAAAGAATGTAGGTGAATTTGGGCAGGGGGCTCAATGCATCAGCGCACTTCCCACACTTGCTTTTTGTGGATTTCCTTGTACTCTTTTGATTACCTACCTGCCTATATATTTGTCTGGATTTATGGGTCAGAATTGTTTAACCTAGAATGAGTCCTTGAGTTTTACTTGGGGGAACATGAGGGAGGGGGGTAATACCCAACGGATGGAGGAGTCCTCTGCCTTTTTGGCATTAGTCAGGTTTCACTAATATTTAAATTTCTCATTCTTCCTCCTCAGATTTCTGCCACCAGTGAGAGAGTTCAGCTTTAAAAACAAAAAGTACTGCGGTGGCAGAGGAAGTTGAGATTTTCTGATTCAGTAGGTGACCACCTGTGTGATACCAGGCAAAGCCACAATGAATCCTGCTAGTTTAG